CCTGGATCACCCCAGGGAATACTTTCTCAGTCACTGATGCTACACCACCCAGTTATACCTACCACCATGCCCCACGCCCCAACTGCCGTGGCGGTGGTGTGGCCCTCATCTCCAGGCTGTCACTTGCCCTATCCCCCTACTCCACCCGGTCATTCCCCTCTTTTGAACACTTTACTCTCTGCCATACCTCCCATCTCTCACTAAAAATTCTCCTAATTTACCCCCAAAATCTTCCTCCACCTTCATCTCTGATATCTCCACCCTCCTTGCTTCCCTCTGCCTCTGCTCCGACCGCTTCATCATCCTAGGCAACTTCAACCTCCACTTCACCCCCTCCTGCTCCACTTCCTCAGATTTCTCCTCTCTCCTCTCATCTCTCAACCTCTCCCTCCACATTCACTCTGCTACCCACACCCACGGTCACCCACTCGACCTGGTGATCACCCAGGGCCTCAGCATCTCGGATGTCACCATCACCAACAAGGCCATCTCTGACCACCATTTTATCTCCCTCAACTGCCATATCCCTCTCCCGAACTGCTTCCTATTCCTGATCCTCACCCTGGTTCACCAGCCACCTCTGCTGGCTCGGGTGAGGCTGCCGAATGTATTTGGCTCAAATCCAGCCTAACAATCCACCGGCACATCTGGCTGGACCTCATCAAAACCTATTGCTCCGCTGTCGCCTCAGTCAAATCATCCTTCTACTCCAGGTTAATCCTGGAGGCGAAGGGCAACCCCAGGCTCCTGTTCTCCACCATCAACCGTCTCCACCACCCTCCCCGCCAACCCTCGCAGATTCTTTCCTCCGACTCCCATTGCGAGGAAATGCTGGACTTCCTCGAGTCCAAAATCGAGGGAATACGCTCAGCTGCCACTGCTCTCCCAACTTCCACCCATTCCCTAACACCCCCCACCACACTCTGAACACTACCCATATCTCCTTCCAAAACTTTGAACCTGTCACTCCCTCCTCTGTCATCACCACCATAACCTCCATGAAGCTCACCATCTGACCCTGGACCCCATCCCCACCCCTCTTCTTAAATCCCAGCTCCATCTCCTTGCCCCACTACTTGCCAGCGTCATCAACCTCTCTCTCTGTCACCTGGCACTGTTCCTAGCCCCCTCAAAACAGCCACTATCACCCCCACTTTGAAGAAACCTTTCCTTGACTCATCGCAGCTATCCAGCTACCGGCCCATCTCCCACCTCCTTTTTCTGTCTAAGGTCCTTGATAGAGCTGTTGCCTCCCAGCTTCACTCCTTCCTCTCCCCTCACTCTCTCCTTGAAACCCTCCAATCAGGTTTCCCTGCTGCCTACAGCACGGAAACTGCTCTGGTCAAGGTCACAAATGACATCCTGAACATGTGTGACCAGGGCTCCCTCTGCCTCCTCATCCTCCTCGACCTCTCCGCCGCCTTTGATACCGTAGAACACTCAACCCTCCTCCACCGCCTCTCCTCCCACCTCAACCTTCAAGGTTCTGTCCTTGACTGGTTCAGGTCCTACTTTTCACACCATCTCCACTTCTTCTCTGCAAACGGCTTATCCTCCAACCCCCGCACTGTCTTGTGTGGCGTTCCACTCCTTCCTCATCGGCCTTCCCAACTCTTCCCTTCACAATCTGCAGATCATCCAAAACTCTGCAGGTTCTGTACTCTCGCGCACCAGGCTCCGTGACCCCATCACTCCCACCCTCGCCCAACTCCACTGGCTCCCCATCCCTCAGAGGATCGAATTCAAGATCCTTGTCCTCACTTTCAAGGCCATCCGCCCTCCTACCTCTCTGACCTACTGTCTCCCTACCAACCTGCCCGCTCCCTCCGTTCAGTGGGCTCCGGCCTGCTCCATGTCTCCCGCCCGACCCGCCCTACCACCGGTGGCCGGGCTTTCAGCCTCTCTGTGCCCACACTCTGGAACTCCATTCCACAGTCCCTTCACCTCATTTCCTCCCTTGCCACCTTCAAGGCCGATCTCAAGACCCTCCTCTTCAATCGTGCCTTCGGTCGCCCTCCCACCTCTCTGCCTTCCCTCACCCCTACCCCACCCCTCCCCCATGCTTGGGTCCTGACCCCTTGGGACGTCCTCCCGACATGAAAGGGGTTCTATAAATGTAATTTTGTTGTTGTTGTTGTTTGTTGTCATATTAAGCAATTCAGATGGAGTCAAATATCTTTTTCCAGTGGAGGGAATGAGCAAAGAAGGGAAACAGGGAGACAAATAACTAGACCCAGAAATGTCTGCCTATGTTGGGTGACTAATTAGTTTCCATGAAAAGCAGTGACACGGATCGTTCGAGCAGAGTCAGGAATTCTTCACTCGTGCCTCACTGTGATAAATGATGGGTTTCGCCACGAATATTCCCCAATGTCAAACCAGCTATTTCAGCACTTCTCTGCAGGGCTGAGAGGCAGGGATGGAGATTGTGTTTCAGTATTAATTTTTTTTCTGATACTACCCACCACCCTTGTTTTGAGAGAGTAATAGGTGCAGGTTGGCAACAGCTCTGTGTGTGTGCGATGTGTGTAACTGTTGGAGTTTAACAATGTAATACAAAATTACATTTGTATTGCGCCTTTCATGTCAAATGGATGTCCCAAGGCGCTTAACCAGCTAAAACAGCATAGCTTGCTATTGATAGCACTGTCTGTCATCAGCAGTGCTGTGGAATACTGCTGACCCGCCTGGCTCAGGAACCGATCGAGAGACCACCACAGAGGGTTGACCCAATTCCAACAGTACAAATTGGCTACTGCATTCACCTACAAAATTACACAGTCACTTTACAGACAATCCTGTAAATCACTTTAATAGGTTTCAATGATGTTTAAAGGCAAGGAATATTACCTTTGCCATTTCAAATACTTATTCATTCCCTCTTCAAAGCTAATATAGATTTTGCTTCATTTGAGTTTTCAGGCCAGGCTAACAATGCCCTGTGTTTGTATGTGTAAAATAAAATCTCTTAGCCTCTCCCTTCATCTTTTAGTGTTAACTTTAAATCCGTGCCCGCAAATTACTGGCTTACTGACCAGCATGAGAATGATTTCTACCTGTTTACTCTATTGAACACCCCCTCATAGTTTAAGGACCTCCACCAAGTCTCCTCTCAACCCTCTCTGTTCTAGAGAAAACAAATGCTGGATTAACAACAACAAAAAAAATTACATTTGTATAGCACGTTTCACATCGGGAGGATGTCCCAAGGCTTTGGACAGTCAACGATTTGGCCCCGAGCAGGGGGTTGGGGTCAGGAGGGGTAGAGAGCGAGGAGACTGGCTTTGAAGGAGGCGGCGAAGCAAAGGGACTGTGGGGTGGAGTTCCAAAGGGTGAGGGCAGAGCGGAGGGAGCGGACAGGTCAGGACAGGTTAGCAGGTCACAGAGGTGGAGAGAGGCAAGGCCGTGGAGGGCTTTGAAAGCGAAGACGAGGATTTTGAACTGTCTCCGCCGGGGGATGAGGAGCCAGTGGAGGCAGGAGAGGGTGGGTGTGATAGGTTGCAAGATTGGGTCCAGATGAAGAAGGTGTTTCGGACCATATGATCTCATGACTCCAGAAATCTATTCTACTGTTCCTCGTTCCCCTTCTCGCACCTTCCCCCACTCTCCCCCTCTCATCACAGCGTTGAGATGCGCCCTGGCCCCAATTTGTTCTAGTCGTTAATTAAAGAGAAATGTCCTGGTGTCTGTCCTGAAATTGCACATTTACAGCTCTTTAAACCTGTGTCCTCTATTGTCTTGGTGTATCCTAAAATATAAATGTGATCCCTCAGTAGAGAGAGTTGGAGGGTAGAAAGGAAAGAGTAAGTAAGGTTCCTGAGCTTGAAAGGAATGAATTGTTTTCCACATGTGGTCTGTGCTGTAACTGCTCTTATTTATTATAAATGGATGAAAATGATCTGAGTTTTTGACCTGAAGATTGCAAAAGGCAGCAAGAGGACATAGATAAAAATAATAATCCTTCCATTTGATATAAAGTCCTTTCACGTCATGAGGACATCCTTAAAGCTCTCCTTTCGATTTACTATAAAGTGTAATGACTGCATTTTGTAGGAGGACATGGCAGCCAATTTGCACACAGCAAATGACCTGACAAACCAGAATGTTACCAGCCTTAAAAGGGTTAAGTTTTGAGGAAAGGCTGTGTAAACTTGGATTATATTCCCTGGAGTTTAGGAGGTTGAGCGGTGATTTGATTGAGGTATTTAAGATGACGAAAGGTTTTGATAGGGTAGATACAGAGAAGCTATTTCCTCTGGTGGGGGAATCCAAAACAAGGGGCTTCGTCCTAAAATTAGAACCAGGCCATTTAAGAGTGAAAGGAAGCATTTTTTCACTCAAAGGGTGGTAGAAATCTGGAATTTTCTCCCCCAAAAGCCATGGATACTGGATTTATCCACACCTTCAAGAGTGACGTTGATAGATTTTTGACAGGTCAGGGTATTAAGGGATATGGGGAGAAAGCGGGAAATTGGAATTAACAGGATTAGTTGAGGTACAGATCAGCCATGATCTAGTTAAAGGGCTGAACAGGTTCGAAGGGCTGAATGGCCTCCTCCTGTTCCTATATTACCATGTTCAAACAGCGATGAAACGAAAGTGACCAGTTCACCTGGTTGATTGTTGGCCAGGAAATCGGGAGAAACTCCCTTCTCTCTTCAAATAGTGGTGAGGGATCTTCAATGTCCAGCTGAACAGACAGGACCTGAATTTAACGTCATATCCAAAGGATGGTGTCCCCGGCAATGCAGAGCTCCCAGGTCATCAGATCACTGCTGACACGAAAGGCTCTATTTACAGCAACAAAATGATGTAATTTATAGCGCCTTTCACGTCAGAAGGCGCTGAACAGTTGTGGATTTGCACCCGAGCTGGTGGTTGGAATCAAGAGGGGTTGAGGGTGGCAGAAAGCCACTTTTTTAATTGTATTGGAAATGTAATTTGTTGTTGACTATTTAGACAAACACTAACTAATATAGCTTAACACTTTTGTCTTTCAGGGGAGGATATGAATGAAAGTTCACCCTATGAGCCCAGTAGGAAAGGGTATGACTATGCCAGACTGGCCTCAATAATGGCAGGTGAGTAAGCGAACGCTGTTGCCCACAGAGTTCAACTTGCTCCACTTTAGTGAGTAAATTGTTAATATGGGTTAAAAATGATGATTATTGACAATATGTAACATGTTCCACCATCTCTGTTATTGGCAATATATAGCATGTTCCACCATATTGGTTTTGGCAATATATAACCCACTGTTCCACCATTTTTACTCTATCGTTTGGTGTTTTGTGGTGTAACGGACGTGACAGGGTCTGACACAGGCGTCACGCGAGCCAACCGCTGCCTGGACGCCGCCAAGGCCTGCAATGTGGACGAGTCATGCCAGAGGCTGAGGACGGAGTACGCCAGCGCCTGCCTCAAACGGACCAACAAGGCCGAAATCTGCAACCGCTCTAAGTGCCACAAGGCTCTTCGCAGGTTCTTCGACCGGGTCCCTGTGGAGTTCACTCACGAGCTGATCTTTTGCCCCTGTGAGGACACGGCCTGTGGGGAACGGAGAAGGCAAAGCATCGTCCCCGCCTGTTCCTACCACGAAAAGGAGAAGCAGAACTGCCTGAAGCTACTGGAGATGTGTAAAATGAATGTTGTTTGTAGGTAAGAAAGCAAGAGAGGGAACGTGGGAAAGAAAGAGAGAGAGAGTTGAATAATGAAAAAGAGAGTGAGAAAAAGAGAGAGAAAGAGAGAGCTAGAGAATGAGAGAGAGAGAGCAAAACAGAGGGAGAGAGAGAAAGTGGGAGAGAGAGCTAGAGAATGAGAGAGAAAGAGCGCAGGACTGAGAGAGAGAATGAAAGGAAAGGCGTCACACAAGAAGAAAGAGAGCTAGAGAATGAAAGAGTGAAAAAGAGAAAGGGACAGAGAGAGAGAGTGTGGGAGAAAGAGAGAGCGAGAAAGAGAATGGGAATGAGGGTGAGTGAGAAAAATAATAATAATAATAATCCTTGCATTTGATATAGCACTTTCCACGTCTTCTAGACGTTTCAAAGAGCTTCACAGAATATACTGTAAAGTGAATTGACTGTATATTTGTGGGCGAATGTGGCAGCCAATTGCGCACAGCAGTGTCCCACAAACAGTCGTGGATTGAAAATGACCAATTTATTATTGTTTTGTTTTGGAGGGATTATTATTAGAGAGCTAAGAGAATGAAGAGAGAGCATGAGAGAGAGGGGGGTGAGGGGGGGGGAGAGAGAGAGAGAGAGCTAGAGAACAAGAAAGAGACAGTGGGCAAGAAAGGGAAAGAGAGCCCATGAGAGGGAGAGAAAGAGAGGGAAAGAAAAAGAGAGCGAGACACATGAAGAGAAAGTGCAAGAAAGAGCGAGGGAAAGAAAGTGTGAGAAGGATAGTGAGAGAATGTGAGAGAGAGTGAGAAAGAGAGGGAGACAGAGCACGAGAAAAAGAGGAAGACAGAGAGAGAGAGAGAGAGAGAGAGAGTGAGAAAGAGAGAAAATGAGAAAGAGAAAAAGAAAGAGGGAGAATAAGACACAGAGAGAGAAAGTGAAGGAGAGAGAGAGGGAGAAAGAGAGAAAATTGAAGAAGAAAGAGGAAGTATGGGAAAGATAGATTTTCAAGGAGATAGTGATGGACAGCATTGATACTGCCAGCGATCATTGTGCTGACCTTTAACAATGTCTGACAACACTGCCACTCAGCAGTCACTTCACACATCTTATGTGATGGCCGATAGCTCTGTCTATTCAGAGAGGTTTCCTGGTGCCAGTGAGACAGCCACAGAGACCCTCTGCACCATGCGCCAAACTCCCAAAGTTAGCTACAGCACAGGTTAGACACAGAGTAAAGCTCCTTCTACACTGTCCATCCACTCTCCCGGGTTCACCTACAGTACTGTTTACATACAACAACAACAACAACAAAATTACATTTGTATAGTGCCTTTCACGCTCACTGTCCATGACAGCACTAATAAAGCTCTCTCTACACAACCAGGTCAGTGACAGAATGGGTTAGAATAAGATGGCTTCACACCGAAGGTGGTTGGACTGTGGAATTCTACGCCCAGAAGTGGAGTCCCATAGTGTAGTGTTAAGACACTCGCCTCACAAGAGAGAGGACCAGGGTTCGATTCCCGGGTGGGACCTTAGGCAAGTTTCCTTATTCCACACGCCTGTTTACCTAGCAGTAAGTAGGAACCTGATTGCTATTCGATTGGCAGATCTCTTTCTGGAAGTAATGATCCCTCAAAAAAACAATAATTATGCTGTATCAAATGCAAGGATTATTATTATTTGGTCACTGAATCCCCAACTGTTTGTGGGACACTGCTGTGCGTAATTGGCTGCTGCATTTCGCCACACAAAATACACAGTCAATTCCCCTTACAATATATTCTGTGAAGAGCTTTGAGACGTCTCAACAATGTGATAAAGCACTGTATCAAATGCAAGGATTATTATTATATATGCGATGTGGATATTGAAGGGTGAGGTAAGTGCGTGGGTGAGTACGACTAGGTTGGGTGCCTCGTGTGGAGAAAAAAACACCAGCAGAGAAGCAATGGCCTGTTATGCGAGCTGTAACACTCTATTAACTCTCTCTATTTTTGTTTCATTCTGATAGATCGAGGCTGGCAGAGTTCCAGATAAGCTGCCAGCCTTCGACACAGTCGGCGAGCGGCTGTCTGAAGGAAAATTATGCTGAATGTCTGCTCTCCTACACTGGCATGATAGGTAAGGGACCAGGAACAAGGCTGCCGACCCAGCTCAGTGAGTCTTTCATGCAGGTTGTGTAAACCATGTGCATCTGTATGTGGACATATGTAAATGGCTGTCAGCCCCTGGCTCAGTTGGTAGCACTTTTGTCTCTGAATCAGAAGGATGCGGCTCAAGCCCCACTTCAGAACTTGGGACCCATACAGTCTATTCTGACACCCCAGTGTGGTGCTGGGAGTCTGCTGTATTCCTGGTGGTGCTGTCTTTCGGATAAGACGTTAAACCAAGGTTCCATCTATGCCTGTTCAGGTGAATGTTAAATATCCCACAGCACTATTTGAAAAGAGACGGGAGTTTCTGTCTTCCGGTGTTCTGACTGATAATCCTCAGATAAAATTGGTCATTCCCTCCTAGGCTGCCATGTTTCACCCACAAAATATATACAGTCATTACACTTTACAGTTAATCCTGGGAAGTATATCCTTGAGTTTAGAAGGTTGAGGGGTGATTTGATTGAGGTATTTAAGATGATAAAGGAATTTGATAGGGTAGATACAGAGAAACTATTTCCTCTGGTGGGGGAATCCAAAACAAGGGGCATCGTCTTAGAATTAGAACCAGCACTTTTAAGAGTGAGATCAGGAAGCATTTTTTCACTCAAAGGGTGGTAGAAATCTGGAACTCTCTCCCCTAAAGGCCGTGGATGCTGGATCCATCAAGAGTGAAGTTGATAGATTTTTGGTAGGTCAGGGTATTAAGGGATATGGGGAGAAAGCGAGAAATTGGAATTGAAAGGATTAATTGAGGTACGGAAGCCATGATCTAATTAAATAGTGGAACAGGCTCAAAGGGCTGAATGGTCTACTCCTGTACCTATCTTCCTATTTTCCTCTGAAGGACGTTGAGATGTCTCAATGACGTATCATTGAAGCACTGTATCAAGTGCAAAGATTATTATTGTACACATATTTGTATACTGTGGATCATGTAAACCATGTGCAATTAGATGTGGAAATGTATTGTGCATTATGAGCCATGAAAAACTGTGTAAACAGATGTGTAGAATGCAAGTTGCGTAAAACCATGGGACACTTGCTGCATCCAAAGTAGTTGTGTTTGCTTAACACAATACAGTCAGATCTAAGTCTGCTTTCTCTTTATTCTAGTTTATACATCAGCCTAATCCCCTATTGCCCTCTCCTGTAGTGTCTTGTAGCATATTGGTTAGGGCACTCGCATCACGAGTGAGAGGACCCAGGTTCGATTCCCAGGCTGAGTGATACCCTGGGCAAGTTTCCTTACTCCACATACATTTGTTTACCTAGCAGTAAGTAGGATCCCAGTTGTTAGTCGAATGTGGATCACTTTCTGGGGGTAATAATTCCTTCAAAAAAAATTGTGCTGTATCAAATTCAAGGATTATTATTATTATTATTTGGTCACTCAATCCACCACTGTTTGCGGGACACTGCTGTGTGCAATCAGCTGCCGCGTTTTGCCCACAAAATATACAGTTAATTCAATTTACAGTATATTCTGTGAAGCGCTTTGAGATGTCTCAACGACATGATAAGGCACTATATCAAATGCAAAGATTATTATATAACATTATCTCTCTACATTTATACAGTACTCAATTCCTGTGGATGTAAAGGCAAGGACTTTATTTACATCCTTAATATCTTGTCCACCTGAGCAGTTACACTTATCTGGCTCCCTCTCCCCCTTTCAGGTCTTTACAGTCCAAGTTATTGTCAGCTTCTGCCAGAGCTATTGCCAGAGTCAATCACGTCACATTTTCTTGTATTAAATCACACAGGTGTGTGATGGGTCTTTTCCTTAATCTGAAAATAGTTGATTTCCATTTTCACAGCATTTCCAGGGCTCTATAACCTCTTCGATCTTATTCACCTGTGAGGAAGCTGGGTGTGTTGTGTGTGTGTACCTGGCTTTGCATATTTTCAGGGCTCTTTAACCTCTTCAATGTTATTCTGCTGTGTGCAAATGGCTGCCATGTTTCACCCACAAAATACACAGTCAATCCATTTTACAACATATTCTGTGAAGTACTCTAAGAAGTCTCAACAATTATATACAATAATTGCATTTGATACAGTGCCTAAAACGTCAAAACATTTCATAACATTTTTGCAGGAATCATAAGATCACATGATTGATCTGGATGAAGAAAGCCCTACGACCCATTCAATCTCATCGCTCCAGAACGCGCCCCCCTCCACCCAACACCGCCACAAGTTGCTTTTTAAATGAGTCCCAGTGTATAGTGTAGTGACTGAATGTTTTGTGAGAGAGCCTAACATTCAGTTTGCCCACAGCAAGAGTGCTACCAACTGAGGCAGGCTGACACATATATTATAATAATAATAATCCTTGCATATTATACAGAGCCTTATCACGTCTTTCAGACATCTCAAAGCGCTTCACAGAGTATACTGTAAAGTGTGGTAACTGTGTATTTTGTGGGCGAAACAAAACAGCCAATTGCACACAGAATAGCGCCCTTCATGCGGTGTCATGTCTCTTATCTGCACAGATTGCCATCGCAAACACTGGCAGCGTTGGTGTGTTCCGTATCTGCGTTCCTGTCAGCTTTGCCCTGCCTAATGTCTCCTTTCCTTCCATTTTGTGGTCAGGCACAGTGATCACCCCCAACTACATTGACAACTCCAGCTCCAACATCGTCCCTTGGTGTACCTGCAGTGGCAGCGGTAACGGCAGGCAGGACTGTGAGACCTTCCTCAATCTCTTCACAGATAACGTCTGCCTCAGTGAGTCAGCAAGCTGCTATCATTAGATCCAAGCCATTCCTAATCCGATCCCTCACAATTCGTCTTAATGCAGTGTCGATGTCTAGCAGCACCATGACATTTAATTTGAGGTTATTTATTTTTGGGTGCCAGCCAGGTATCTTACACACACCACGACCAGCCGGGACCTGCTGGGTATCATACACATGCGGAAACCCATCACCGTGACACACTGGGAATCTTACACAAGAGAGAAACCCTTCACCTTGCTAAAGAATTGCCAAGGAAAGTTTCACACATTTTACTATGTTTGGAATGGAATACATACTCCCCTTGGAGGGATGCAGTCACTAAATTCTGGATGGTATTGGACGCAGATTGGCAAGAGCCTTGGCTTGGGGACCCCCAAGTGTGCATTGGAGTAACTGCTGGAGTCTAACCAGTTGAAGCCGCAAAGAGCAGCGTCTGCAAAAAGCTTCCTCTGCTTTTTAAGCTCGGACAACCCTACCAGTTAGGGCTTTGTCTTGCAGGGTTATCAGGAGCTGAGTAGAAGAAACCCTGCTCACAGTGATCAGTCTGCGTTCTGCCAATGAGCCAGGCTGGACTGTATTGTGGACTCACCTGTCTCGAGACCTGGACTATCGAGATCAGCAATGAGAGTTGACTCCGAGATTCACTGTCTGACATGTCACCTTGGAGTCAACTCTACCCCAAAGAGAGCTTATCTCCTCCCCATGGAGAAATAGTCTTCAGTTGAATTAATAATCCAAGTGCTGACTGTGTGTGGGCTCACCATTTAATTAAAGGTGCTCTTTATTACGTAATTAACTGATGAAAATGTGACACTGCGAATCTATACCTTGTTACATAGTTAGTTAGGGGGACGTTGGTGTGCGTAGGGTTAACCCAACCTGCAAATTAGCACCTATTTGGAAGGGAGGGGATTCAGCAAAATTGTCTGTGGAGAGAGAGGGAGGTGGAAGTGTAGGGAAGGGGGAGAGGAGCAAGAGATGAGGGAGGTGGAATGGAGTGGGGAGGGGAGGAGGTAGTGAGGAGATTTGGAGGAGAGGAGGGGGCTTGGGGGTGATGGTGGTCTGTCACACAAGACGTACACCAACAACAACAACAACAAGATTCCATTTATAAAGCGCCTTTCACGTCAGGAGGACGTCCCAAGGCGCTGTACAGTTGGGTCATGACCCGAGCAGGGGGGAAATGGTCAGGGTGAGGGAAGGGAGGGAGCAAGGAGGGGGAAATGGTCAGGGTGAGGGGAGGGAAGGGAGGGAGCGAGGAGGGGGAAGAGAGTCGAGAGGGGAGCTGAAGGCACGGTCAAAGAGAAAGGTTTTGAGACCGGCCTTGAAGGAGGAAAGGGAGGAAGCGGCGAAGGCACTGGGGGATGGAGTTCCAGAGCCTGGGGCTGAGAGGCTGAAGGCCCGACCACCGATGGTAGGGCGGTTGGGGCGGGGGACGTGGAGCAGACCGGAGCCAGAGGAACGGAGGGTACGGGCAGGTAGGTAGGGGGATAGTAGGTTGGAGAGGTAGGAGGGAGCAAGGCCGTGAATGGCCTTGTAGGTGAGGATGAGGATCTTGAAATCAATCCTCTGGGGGATGGGGAGCCAGTGGAGGCGAGCGAGGGTGGGAGTGATGTGGTCCCGAAGCCTGGTGCGGGACAGTACACGAGCTGCAGAGTTCTGAATGACCTGCAGCTTGTGGAGGGAGGTGGCGGGAAGGCCGGCGAGGAGAGAGTTCCCATAGTCCAGCCTTGAGGTGACAAAGGCGTGAACCAGGGTTTCAGCAGCGTGAGGGGTGAGGTAGTGCCGTAGTCTGGCGATGTTCCGGAGGTGATGGAAGGCGGTGCCAGTTGTGGTGCGGATGTGAGGGAGAAAGGACAGCTCAGGGTCGAACAAAACGCCGAGGTTCCTGACTGGCTTTGAGAGGTGGAGAGTGCAGCCTTGGATGCTGATGGTGTCAGCGCCTGAGGTGCGGAGGCGCTGACGTGAGCCAATCAGGAGGGCCTCGGTTTTTCGCACGTTGAGCTGAAGAAAGTTGTCTCTCGTCCAGGACTCGATGTCGGACAGGCAGGCTGTCAGGACATCGGTGGTCGTGGAGTTGAGAGTAGAGGAGGAAAGGTAGAGTTGGGTGTCATCCGCATACATGTGGAAGTTAACTCCATGTCTGCGGATGATGTCACCGAGGGGGAGCATATAGAGGGTGAAGAGGAGGGGACCGAGGACAGAGCCCTGAGGGACACCACATGAGACAGTGCGGGGGGTGGAGGAGAAGCCATTCGTTGAGACAAAGTGAAGACGGTGAGAAAGGTACGACCTAAACCATTCAAGGACAGTGCCTTGAAGGTTGAGGTGGGAGGACAAGCGGTGGAGTAGGATAGCGTGGTCGACCGTATCGAATGCTGCCGATAGGTCGAGGAGGACGAGGAGACAGAGGGAGCCCTGGTCACAGATGGTCAGGATATCATTGGTGACCTTGACCAGGGCAGTTTCTGTGCTATGGGCAGCACGGAAACCTGACTGAAGGGGTTCAAAAAGAGAATGGGTGGAAAGGAAAGAGCGCAGTTGGGAGGCGACAACTCTTTCCAAGACCTTGGAGAGAAAGGGGAGGTTGGAGATGGGCCGGTAGCTTGATAGCTGCGACGCATCAAGGGAGGGTTTTTTCAGGGTGGGCGTGATGATGGCAGTTTTTAATGGAATGGGGACAGAGCCAGAGGAGAGGGACAGGTTGATGATGTCAGTGATATGTGGGGCAAGAAAGTGGAGCTGGGAGATAAGGAGTGGAGTGGGGATGGGGTCAAGGGAGCAGGTGGTTGGTTTTAGGGATAGGATGAGTTCAGTGACAGAGGGTGGGGAAACGGGTACGAAGGTGTGTAGGGGAGGATGGGTAGGAGTCGGAGTGTGGGAGGGAAGGGGTGGGTGGTGGGTGGAAGTTGGAGGGGAAGTGACCGCGGAGCGGATTCCCTTGATCTTGGATTCAAGGAAATCCAGCATCTCCTCGCAGTGAAGGTTGGAGGAGATGACCTGCGCGGGGTGGCGGGGGGGACGGAGGAGTCGGGTTGTGGTGGAAAACAGTAGCCTGGGGTTGTTCTTCGCCTCCAGGATTATCCTGGAGTAGAAGGACGACTTGGCCGAGGCTAGAGTGGAGCGGTAAATTTTGAGGAGGTCCAGCCAGATTTGTCGGTGGACCGTTAGGCCAGATTTGACACAGGTGCGTTCAGCAGCCCGCACCTGGCTTTTCAGTGAGCGGAGGTGGGTGGTGTACCAGGGGGAGGAGCGGGAGTAGGAGACAGTGCGGGAAGTGATGGGGGCAAGAGTATCGAGTGTGGAGGAGAGGGTATTGTGGAGGAGGGAGAGAGGAGAAGAGGGGTCGGTGAGGGTTGAAGGCCAGAGGGAGAGGAGTTCAGAGGACTCCAAGGCATCGGTTAGGGATTGTGGGGGTAACTTCTTCCAAGGGCGGTAGAAGATGGTGGTGGGTCTGGTGGAGGTGGGGAGGGGGGTGGAGGTGGTGAAGGAGATGAAGTAGTGGTCAGAGATGGCCTTGTCGGTAATAGTGACATCCGAGACACTGAGGCCCCGGGTGATCACCAAATCGAGTGGGTGGCCGTGACTGTGAGTGGGGGAGTTTATGTGTAGGGAGAGGTTGAGTGAGGAGAGCAGGGAAGAGAAGTCTGTGGAGATGGAGCAGGAGGGGGTGAAGTGTAGGTTAAAGTCGCCCAGGATGATGAGGCGATCGGAGCAGAGGCAAAGAGATGTGAGGAGTGTTGAAATGTCAGAGATGAAGGTGGGAGAGGTTTTAGGGGGCCGGTAGAGGAGGAGGATTTTAAGGGAGAGGAATGAGGGGTGGGAGAGGGTGAGGTGCTCAAAGGAGGGGAAAGAGCCAGAGGAGTAGGGGGATAGGGCAAGTGGTGTCCTTGAGATAAGGGCAACACCACCGCCACGGCGGTTGGGGCGGGGGATGTGGTGGGAGGTGTAGCCGGGTGGCGTGGCCTCCGTGAGGGGGAAGGTGTCGCCTGGGGTGAGCCACGTTTCTGTCAAGGCCATGATATCAACGTTCTCATCAAGGATGAGATCGTTGATGACCAGGGCCTTGTTGCAGAGGGAGCGGACATTTTGCAGTCCGATGTGGAGGGAGCGGTTGACAGAAGGGTGTGTGGGAGGGGAGGGGGGTCCAGGTTGTGAGGCAGGGGTGGGGGGATGGGGATAAGGGAGGAGAGGTTGACTCCCCGGGTCTGTGTCCGGGGTGGGTGGCGAGTGTGGTGGGGAATGGGGCAGTCGGTGTGGCTGCTGCTTGACCCCGAAAGGGTAGCTGACATGTGTGTTCCACCTTCGTCAGGGAACGCATTCCAGGCCTTTGGGAATGGTACAGATCTGAACATGGGCTCCGACATGCAGCAGTCGACACTGCCCACACGTTATCTCCACCCAGAGAGGAACTTAAACGACACGCTCGCCTCACACAGCAAGGAGCAGGCATTCGGCCCCACAATCAGAACACAGGTAACAGCCCCGAGGAGAGAAGGTTCGATTCCCTCTCCTCCTCGTCCACTCACCCTCCCTCCCTTCTTCCCTCCCTCCCTCCCTCCCTGCATCAAAGACAGGTGTGTAACTGTGCATGGAAAAGATTTTACGTGAAATTTCTTCACAGTGCAACAAGTCAAGTGTGTAAGAGAGACGCAGTTTTCCTATTTCACGAAACCAGGGGAAATAATGAATAATCCTTATGGCCTTTCATGTTTTGAGATGTCTTGAAGATGAGATAAGGCACTATATCAAATGGAAGGATTATTATTATTATTATTATGTTGGAGAGAAAGCCTCAAATGGCTTCACAGGGTTTCACTGTGAACTGTAGTGACTGTCTCTTTTGCGGGTGAATGCGGGAGCTCATTCGCAACGTGAAGTATTCATGGAAATAGCATGTAAAATCCCATGCATTTGGATGGCGCAGACAGGCAGCTTGCTCGTCAGCTTGCTGAAAACCATACTAATTCCGTGCTAAAATTGCAGCACACGTAGGTGTTAATTTGACCAGGTGAAATGAGATTTGGTGAGACCGAGGGGAACACAAGGCTTGGAGGCTTCCGAGATAAAGTGAAGGCAGAGCGATAACAAATTATTAACCACTGGCAGTCAGTGGGTTTAAAATAGGAACCATCCGCTTCCTTATTAAAGCGCCTGGGATCCGAAGGGGTTTGAGGTGAGATTGTTGTGCTGATGTTCTGTAATCACACTCTGTCCGTGCCCTTCACTGAGCTTCTCTTGGCACCAATGAACAAAGATAACAATCCTTGCATTTGACATTTGCATTTATCACATCTTTGAGATGTCTGAAAGTGCTTCACGGAATGTATTACAAAGTGGATTAACTGTCCATTTGTGGGTGAAACGCGGCAGCCAATTATGCACAGCATTGTCCCACAAACAGTCGTGGATTGAGTGACTACACAACAACAAGAACAAAATTACATTTATAGAGCGCCTTTCACAACGGGAGGACCAAATTATTTCTTAATTGTTTTTAAGAGAATATTATCCCCGGAAAGCCAATCAATTAAAAACCGTGTTCCAATTTACTGCTAGGTAAACCGAGGCGTGTGGAGTAAAGAAACTTGCCTAAGGTTTCGCCCTACCTGTGAATTGAACCAGGGTCCTCTCGCTTGCGCGTGCTCTAACCAATATGCTACAGGGCTCCATATGGACTGCAAAGATTATTATTATCGTTTCTTAATATTCAAATTTTTATTCCATCCTTTGGATGAGTCATTAAACCAAGGTCTCCATCTGTACCTTGTTTAGGTGAGAAATCACGTGAAGCAGGTAAATGAAAGGATTGCTCTTGAGGGAGCTGGCACACGTTTTGCTCACAAAATACACAGTGAGTCCACTTTACAGTATATTCTGTGAAGAGCTTTGAGACGTCTCAACAAAGTGATAAGGCGTTGTATCAAATGCAACAATTATTATTAAATGCAACAACAACAACTTGCATTTATGTAGCGCCCCTCGCACAGGGTAGCGTCCCATCCCAGAGCACTTGAGGATTATTACGCAAACTAATGTAAGGATTATTATTAACAATTATTATTTTATCTCGCTCTCAGGTGTCCGATGAGAAGCTCCTGTGGAGGGAATCCATTGGTTCGTCCAATAAAGTTCCAGGCTGGGCTGCCATTGTCCACACGCCTCCTCACCTGGTCTGGGGCCTCGCCTTGGTCTCTGTCTATTCCGGATTTTCAATGTGAAGACCAAGAGTAAAGGTGGTGGGTGGGTGGTTGGGTGGAGGGGAGGGAAATGGAGTTGAATGGGTGTAGGGGAGGGGAAAGGAGGTCATTAATGCCGGGCTGCCCAAAACTGCCAACAGGTGACATTCAGTGAAAGATCTTGGAATTACTGCTGGCCATATTTCTGATTGTCTCAAAGCCAAGATAGAGGCTCGTGGGTCGGGGTGGGGGGAAGGGAGATATTTGTGATTAAAAAGACCACCTCCTCTCTGACATGAATCGCCCTTTCCGGTGTGCGGGTGGGGGGGGGGGGTGCGGAGAGGAGTGAGGAGGAGGAGGAAACCCAATTCCAGAATGGAGGGGGTCGCCTTGGAGACGCCTGAACTTCCTGTTGAGCACCCTAGGGGATGCTGCCGATGGACAGCGGGTGGGGAAATTTTCCAAGCAAATGGGTCTCGGAGGTGCTCACATATCAAGCACTCCCTCTCGGCAACAGTGTCAACGGCATAGCTTTAGCATTCACCCAAATGTCAGAAGTCAAGCTCAGTGGATTACTCTCCCCCCTTCCCCCCCCCCACCCACATTTATGCAGTTTAGCTCATGGTTGCAGTATCCAAACAGATTGTGTACTTCCCTTCCTTCCTCCCTCCCTCCCTTCCAAGGAGGGGAAAAAATGATGATAACTGAGCTTTATTTTGCCCCAGTTTTATTTCCTGTGGTTGTTTTCTGTCTCTCTCTCTCCCTCTCTGTGTCACGTCAGAAACTTTGCAAGTGGGTGCGGTTCTCAAACGTTTCTGAGCGCCTTGTTAATTCTCAACTGGTGTTAAGGGTGTTCCTAGCTGGACAAGCAGCGGGAAAGTTTACCTGACAGTGGTCTCATTAGAGGCTGACACCTTAACTCTCTCCGCATCCTGTGTCCTCTTGTTCTGCTGTCCTAGCACATCTGAAAGTATTGTTCCGGTTTTACTTTATCCATCGTCCACTTTAGTATCTTACACACTTCTCTAATAAAGACATCAAGTCAGATGCCAGAGTTCCTCTTATCTTGTCCTAGTCATTCATCAAGGTGTGCATGTGTGTGTGTGGGGAGGGTGTGTGGGGTGGGGGTGGCCTTTGGAAGGCGGGGGTCTCCTCAGTGCTGAGTTTGCATGCTCGGCAATCGAATATCAGAATCGAGTCCACCCTCTGTGGTGGTCTCTCACTTGGTTGTCTGGTTTCTGAGCCAGGCGGGTCCGCAGTATTCCAAGGCACTGCTGATGACACCACAGCCAGTGCGGCTCATTGGTAAGACTTGAAGTGCCAGTCTTGGGGCAGGGAATCCTCCAACTCAACCCTTGTTAACCCTGCAAGCCAAAGCCCTAACGGGTAGTGTGGTCCTAGCTGGACAAGCAGCAGGAAAGCTTGCCAGACGGATACTCTTAAGCACGGTGATGGGTTTTTACATGTGTCAACACCTGCCTGACCAAAAACAAGCGCTTGCTGAACTTAGTCTGTAATGTTTGATGGCAGCAATGGATTGGAAACAAACTCAACATTTCCCCCCCACCAACCCCACCATCAAAGAACAACATCAACAACAAATAGCATTTGCTGGACTAAATTTCTAGAAATTTATCCCAGAGAGACTGATAAAGGTCACTGACCATCAATAAGTCAAGGACTCTTGCCACTCAGCTCCTGTTAACTCTACCAGCCAAAAGCCTAACGGGTAGAGTGGTCCTAGCTGGACAAGCAGCAGGAACTTGCCAGACAATGCTTTCAAATGCAAGCCTTCGCTGGTTAGACTCCGAATAAAAATAATATAACAATCCTTACATTTGATACAGCACCTTTCATGTCGGGAGAATGTCTCAAAGCGCTTCATGGGATATACTGTAAAGTGCAGTGACTGTATGTCAGCGGGTGTTAATTTGTACACAGCAACATCCCACAAACAGCCATGGAGGTGGATGATGGGCTTCCATATAGGTCAGACATCTGACCGACAAAAAAAAAACAAGGCGAGGGAGGGATTGAACTGAAGGAATTCCAGGATGGAGTTCCAGACAATGGGGCTGAAAGCCAGGCTGAAACCTCTGATGGTCATAAGATGTGCAAAAACAGTCACAAGAATAATGTGAGACTGCTGCGAACATCTGTAAAGCCACCCTGGGCAGCCGAGCGCAACGATAAAAAAAAACTTGCATTTGATATAAGGCCTTATCACAGTTGAGATGTTTCAAAACACATTACAGAATATACTGTAAAGTGAATTGACTGTATATTTTGTGGATGAAATGTAACAGCGAATTGCTCACAGCAGTGTCTCACAAACAGTCGTGGATTGAGTGACCAAATTATTTTTGAGGGATTATTACCCACAGAAAGTGATCCACCAATCGACTAACAACCAGGTTCTTACTTACTTCTTGGTAAACAGGCGTGTGGAGCACGGTGTGGTGCCTAAGGTTTTGCCCTGCCTGAGGATACTTTACAGTAAATCCTGAGGGCAATGTCTCCAGGCTGATTTCTGAAGCTTTTCGGAAACAACCGGCATTGGAATTCTAACTGGAGCAGTGGATGTCTCTGGAGTTTTATGTGAACATCTTACCGAGATGTAAAGTCGGTGATATGTGAGCTTTTTATAGGCGTGCTCCCAGCTAAGCAAGCCCCTCTTCTGGGGTAGGAGAGGGGCAAGGTTCGAATCGGTTAACACTGTGGACAATTTCTCCCTTTTTTATCTTTTGCTCTTTCTTTTAAATGTCAAGTTTCTATTATTAAAAAGATTATTATTATAATAAATTATTATTATTTCTGATAGCTGGCCTCCATCTAGCTGTGTGTAACATCTGTCCTCCTCTCCTCCCTTCCTTCTCCCCTCATCCTCTCCTTGTTCCTCCTTCTCCCCGCACTCTCCATTATTCTCCCCTCTGCGCTCAAATTGCAAGCGAGACGTTCAGGGTTTAATTGCTGGGGTGGGGGCCATGAAACAGTAGGCAAGTTACCTTATTCCACATCTGTGTTTACCTAGCAGTAAGTAGGAACCTGGTTGTTAGTCGATTGGCGGATTGCTTTCCCTGGGGTAATAATCCCTTAAATTAAATTTGGTCACTCAATCCACAACTGTTTGTAGGACACTGCTATGAACAATTGGCTACCAATGAACTAAGTGACACCTTTGCCATATCTCCTAATACTACCTAAGCCTCTGTCTGTCATACAAACATCTCTATTGATTCCGACTCTACAGCTTTCTGGGACAAAGCATTCCACATCTTCACAACCCTCTGTGTGAAGAAATACTTCCTGATCTCAGCTCCCACTAACTCATCAATTGATCTCATGGTTTTTGATAGTGTGATCAATGATTACATAAGAACATAAGAAATACCAGACGAATAAAAGACCAAGGTTCGTCCAGTTCGCCTTCCATCTTCCTGGCAGTTGCATGCTATGGGCTATGGATATGATGTGCAGAAGGATTTATATCTCCAGTTCACACACAACCTCTTGTAGCACTGAGGAGAACAGATTTCAACAGGAATCATTTCAATTGATTTCTATTCCTGCACAACACGGCAAGGATGTTAATTGTTGGTTGGTTTGCCTCCAATCATTTTGATTACCATTCTTGCAGGACTCCACTGGTTCTCTTATCACTGAACAGATCGATTTCAAGATCCTCACATTCGTCTTCAAATCCCTTGATGCCCTGGCACCTCCCTACCTACTTATTCCCCAACCCACTACCTGCTGCCTCCACTCGACTGGCTCCGACCTCCTGTTTGTCCCTTTTGCCCTCCGTTCGACCATCGATCGCTGTGCTTTCAGTCACTATGCCCAAAACTCTTGAACACTCTTCCACTATCCCTCTGCCTTTCTCCCTTCCTTCCCCATCTTTAGGTCGCACCTGAAGACCTTCCTCTTTGACTGCCTACGGTTACCTGCCCCCAGTTCAGCGTTGTGGAGCACTGTCAAGGGCTCAGGACCCTACCCTGTGTAAGGGCTGCTATATAAATGCAAGTTGTTGTTCTAATGAAGAGAATTTCTCATCGTTCAAGAGAGAGGTTGTTCATCTCAGCTTCAAGGTGAGTGAGAACATCTGGACGATACTCGTCTTGTAATTGACCACACGCTGAAGATATATCCATACAATAATATGCCACAAAGCACAGTCACTACACTTCGGAGTATAACCGGTAAAGTCTTTGGGGACATCATCCTGACTTGAAAGGTGCTGTATCAAATGTAGGGAATATTATTTTTATAAATCTTGCATTTAATATAGAGCTTATTACAACTTGCATTTATATGAAAACATTTTGATAATAATAATTCTTGCATTTGATATAGCGCCTTATCACGTCTTCGAGACGTCTCAAAGTGCTTCACAAAGTATACTGTAAAGTGTGTATATTTTGTGGGTGAATCGAGGCAGCCAATTGTGCACAGCATTTCCCTACAAACAGTCATGGATTGAATGACCCAATTTTTTTTCAAGGGATTATTACCCCAGAAAGTGATATGCCAATCGACTAACAACTGGGTTCCTACTTACTTGGTGCTAGGTGATCAGAGGCATGTGGAGCAAAGAAACTTTTCGCCAATGTTTCACCCTGAGCGGGAATTGAACCCAGATCCTCTCACTCGTGAGGCAAGTACTCTAATCACTAAGCTACATGACTTTACTGTGTTGGGAGGTAACTGTGGTTTTGTAGGTGAACCTAGCAGGCAATTTTGCACACAATAACGTCTCACAAACAGAATAACCAATTTTACTTGGAGGATTCTCCACCAGGACACTGTCAGAAATGTTTTGAATAGTGCCATGGAATCTTTTAATGTCAACTGAACAGGCAAACAGTACATTGGTTTGTCTCATTTAAAGAACAGCACCTCCAACAATATGACTCTCCCCCCAGCACTGCCTTGAAGCGTCAGCCTTGTTTGTGCAAGTCCAAAGCCTAAAAGTTGGGGCTTGAATGCACAAACTTCTGACGTGGAAGCAAGGGCACTGCCAACTAAACCAGGCTGACACATTGTCAAGCAGAGCTAATAAGAAGCTTGAGCCACAAACGGCTTTCATTGAAATTGCCTCAAAGCATTAAGCTCCTACCAGGCTGTGTGGGGAATATGCCTTTCTTTGTCTTATTCTGCCCACAAAAGCCTTTGCTGAAGACTGCTTCAACTTTGCTCAACTTCCTTTTCATTTTAAATCACGTGCCAGCCTGGCTCAGTCGGGACACTGCTGTGCACAATTGGCTGCCGCGTTTCCCCACAAAATACACAGTCACTTTACAGTAAATTCTGTGAAGCGCTGTAAGTCGTCTCAATGATGTGATAAGGCATTATATCAAATGCAAGGATTATTGCTATAAGAACAACAACAAAATTACATTGGTATAGAGCCTTTCACATCAGGAGGACATCCCAATAAGGATTCTCGCCTGGCTGTCTTTAAGATACTAAAGGAGCAAGACAATATAGATCATGACAGACCATTTCAACTTGTCCAGAATAGTAAAACCAGAGGATATGGCCTGCGATTGAAAGGGGGAAAATTCAAAACAAATCTACACAAACACTATTTCAGTGAGTGAATAATGAACCTGTGAAACAGACTATTTAGGGAGCCAATTGAAGCAGGAAGAGTTGATTCTTTCAAACACAGATTAGATAATTTTCTTTGAAGAAATAACACTACATAGGTAGTTTGGGACATATGTGCATGTGACCGCCAGGAAGGTGGAAGGCGAACTAGATGGATCTTAGTCTTTTTTCGTCTAGCATTTATGTTCTTATGTTAGGATCTTATGGTTAATAGGAGCTGAGTGGGAACAATCCCTGCTCCTTCTGCCCCTCCACAAGCCTCTCATTCCCTTCTTCAGGTCAACATTAACCTGAAGCCATTTGAAACAAAAGGGAGCTTTTCTTGGATTCTTGCCCAAACCTCTGCAGATTAAATTGCACATAATTGGGAATTTATTTACAGCAAACAGTCACTATATGTTATTGTCATTTTTGTGAAGCACTTTTTCGAGACATTTCAAAATTCAAGTTGGGT